GCTTGGCCTGATCCAACATGGCCTCTCTTATGTTCTTATCTGGAGACCAGTTGTAATTCCAGGAGATCTCCAACCGTAGGGAACCCTACGTGAGGTGAAGGAGGCTGAGAGACAGTTTCATGGGCAGCTTTTTGACTTGTAAGTGCAAGGAAAGGTACACATGGGAAATTATCTGTCTCGGCCCTCAAATACATGCGTGACAAAATTTATCTGGGAGCGTCTCACCACGAGGTGGTGTCTGCGGTCTGGAGAGGAACTGTAAATTACTCCTGTAGGCTGGTATCCCTACGGAGGCCCCTCTCCCTTCCTCAACCCCCATCCTCCCGAGGCTTCACCCGCAAATCTCCATGAATTTCCTGAGCCGGAGTTGGCTACCTTAGTAGAGGCCAGGCCCCTGGGCTTGGCCTTCTCCTTCTCTTCCTCAGGTGGGTCTCCTAGCAACCGCACCGTGCTGCCTAGGTCGGCCGGAGCCGGGAGTAAGGCCTCTTCTGCTTCCCCTCAACCCCCCCTTCCTCAACCCCCAGCCTCCCGAGGCTTCACCCGCAAATCTCCATGAATTTCCTGAGCCGGAGTTGGCTACCTTAGTAGAGGCCAGGCCCCTGGGCTTGGCCTTCTCCTTCTCTTCCTCAGGTGGGTCTCCTAGCAACCGCACCGTGCTGCCTAGGTCGGCCGGAGCCGGGAGTAAGGCCTCTCTTGCTGCCCTCGCTTTCCCTCTCCTCCGCCGGTGGTGCTTGTTGGGCGGGCCGTGCCCAGAATGGAGGACCCGGACTGGGGGGAGGGCGCAAGTCACGAGTGTGGCTGCCGGCTTGTGTGAACGCCGTGGAGCCTGAATGCAAGCGAAGAAGTACGCACAGCTGCCCGCCACCATGCCGCGGACCTTCACACTCTGCCTAGCCGGTCTTTCCTTGTGGGTGGACAAGCCCTCTGCCTGAAAGAGAAAAGAAGCAAGCACAATAAAGATGACGTTCTGTACAGCAATTAGGGCCAAGCTACAGTTAGGCCTGCCAACCTCCAGGTGTGAACTGGAGATCTCCCAGAGTTACAACTGATCTCTGTACGCTTCAGATCTGTTCCCCCAGAGAAACTGCCTTGCTTTGGAGGGTGGACTGTAGGACACGGCGGCCTCCTGAGGTCCCTTCCCTCTACATAGCCCATCCCACCCTCCCCATGGTCCACCCCTCAAAATCTCCAGGAATTCCCCTATTCAGAGATGGGAACCATGTCGCAGGATGCATACAATCTACTAGCAGAGTCTCCCGCTTTGTTTTTAAATGGCAAAAACAGACATGGGGAGGTGGGGGGGGGATTTAGCTGGAGCTGCATTGTAGGGAGTTGACTGAGAAAGCCCAGAGAAACGATGAGGCAATACAGAAAAACCTGGGCTTTTTTTGTAGAAAAAGCCCAGCAGGAACTCATTAGCATAATAGGCCACACCCAACAGCAGACACACATTAGCATATTAGGTCACACCCTTGACAGCACAGCATATTAGCATATTAGGCCACACCCCCATGTTACTAGAAGTGTGGTCATCCAACCACACCCACCTTTTGCTTCTTATTCTGTTAACTTTGTTGTCAAAACCCAGAGGGGGTTTTTTGTAGCAGGAACTCCTTTGCATGTTAGGCCACACACCCCTAATGTAGCCAATCCTAATGAGTTTCAGCTGTTGGGTGTGGCCTATTATGCTAATGTGTTCCTGCTGGGTGTGGCCAACTCAGGAGCCAGCCGGAACTCCGTTCCTGTGCGTTCCTGCCCAAAAATAGCCCTGAGAAAAACAATAAATAGAAAGCAATTCTGGGAAGAAGCATGGAGAGAAAAACTGCTGCAAGCTGGGCACCAAAAGCATGGGTGTCAAGTTCCGAGTCAAATCGCTCTCCATGATGAAAGTTTTATTCAGAGATACGAGATGCCGTGGGTTTGGACTTCTTTGTCAGGACTGGGGTGGCAAAGGAGGGAAAGCGGCGTATAACTGAAAGTCCCACATTCCGTTCATACACAACAGCGATACTATCCAGACCATGAAAGATATACGATCCATTCTAGCCATACACAGACTTGTCTTCAAGGTCACCTTCCCATGAGAAAGTCCCCCAGAGGTGCCAGGAAGAGTTACTGAAGCTAGCCTCCCTAATTCTTCAGACAATTACTCCCCTCGCTTCAGGAATGCAATGGCAGTGAGGGCAGCTGATAAGCACCCAGGGTTAACAAGCAGCTTGCAGCAAAAGCTAAGGGGATCATGATAGCATACAGAAACATCACCAGGCATGAATTCGACAGGTACAGTGGGCCAGATGCCAGAGTCTGACAATGGGAAAGCCTCCATCCTGTGACAGGCCACTAGTGCTGGGCGAGGGGGTTCGCTATGTGTGTGTGTGTGTGTGTGTGTGTGTGTGTGTGTGTATATATATA